AGTTTAGTGCGCGGAGATCTGGGGAGCTGGAAGATGAGAACTGGCGACTTGGTAGTACAACTGTAGTGCGCGGAGTATCTGGGGAGCTGGAAGATGAGAACTGGCGACTGTGTAGTACAACCTTAGCACGCGGAGTATCTGGGGAGCTGGAAGATGAGAACTGGCGACTTTGTAGTACAACTGTAGTGCGCGGAGTAGCTGGGGAGCTGGAAGATGAGAACTGGCGACTTTGTAGTAAAACCGTAGATGCGGAGCGCCTGGGGAGCTGGAAGATGAGAACTGGGGACGTCGTAGTACAACTTCAGTAGGAGTACAACTGTAGTACGCGGAATAGCTGGGGAGCTGGAAGATGAGAACTGGCGACTTTGTGGTACAACTGTAGTGCGCGGAGTAGCTGGGGATGACCCACAAGAGTGTCTCACAAAGGTGTCCGACAAGACGGCGTGTCGCCTCAGAGAGGAATGAGTGGTGGTATTATGGGTTATGTTTGCGAACAGTGTGTGGTGGACCTATTCAGCGTTGTGCGGACGCAGCGAGAAAGACACCAAGAGGTGGGCGCTCCTGAGCCAGACTGTTGTGCTGCCGTGTCACCTGCGCATGGACGCTTTACTATTTCCCCTTACCAGCAGCTCAAATGCTCTCGAAGATGAGCTGAGCTGTCACCGCTTGGCTGCCGGTGGGGGGTTTGGGAGGCCTGCGCGCTACTTGGTTCACTATATCTATAGTGAAGAACTTCACCATTTGTCCTTACCAGCAGCTCAAATGCTCACGAAGATGAGCTGAGCTGTCACCGCTTGGCCGCCGGTGGGGGGTTTGGGAGGCCTGCGCGCTACTTGGTTCACTATATCTAGAGTGAAGACCTTCACCATTTCCCCTTACCAGCAGCAGACATAGACACACACACACAGACAGGGACTCATACACACACAGACATAGATACACACACAGAGACCCACACACTGCCTCAACTCACTCGACTTAACACTGAACACTTAACACACAACTCACACTCTGACTTCATACGTGATGAAAAGTCTTTCGGGCCACTCGTCGTCTAGTTGATCTTGCTAGAACTTGCAATACCAGGTTGGAAGAGTATATACGTCACAATGTCAAATGGGATACAGTTTGCCAAGTTTTTTTGCTGGATATCCTACCGCAATTATCCGCAACTCCTTTGCCGTTTCTCTCACAGTCTGTGCATGCTTCACACACCAGTGATTTGATGAATTTGCAGTTGATCTTCACTCAGCTTGACTTGCAATTGAGTTCAAAGCCATTCTAGGTGCCATTCTAGGTGACATGTGGCATGTTCTATCTTTTATCGCACTTTGGCTCTCAGCAGTGTCTGAACTGGTCGCCAACACATTTACAGATTGACAAGATTGAGCTTGGCTCAGGAAGAGTCCAGTGCTCGATCGTTTTGTCACCGCTTGCGACGACAGACGCTGTGTACTGTACACAAAATCACCACGTGGGACAGCTACTCGCTGGACAGACACTGTAGCCTACGAAGATTCAAGAAATCCATATGTTTATCAAAGACATTACTGGAACAAGGACGCTACTGGGGGCTCCTGGCATCGCTACTAGGAGCAAGAAACTACTAGGGGCTCCTGGCCGTACTACTAGGAGCAAGGACGCTACTAATTCCAACGCGAAGACAAAAAAACCAGAGCCGACGATGCCGCCAAAGAGCGCCTTGAAACGCCCAGCTGCCACGGTGTCACCGGCTGAAGAGGCAACTGCGCCCAAGAAGCAATGCCTGAAGCCGCCGGCGGACGTGGACTCGGTGTTGAGGGAGACGTTGCTTTGCTGCATTTTCAGAGCCCACCTGACTGCGCCCCGGCACCTGGGTTCTTGTCGGTTCTTGGCCAAGGCTTGGGAGTCTCAGGCGAGGATGTATCTAGATGGCAGTGTATTGTACTGTAAAAACAGCGTAAGACAGTCGCTGCAGGTCAGGGCTGGCAGGGAAGCCAAGCTATGCAGCTCAAGTGGCCGCGCTACAATCAGCTGCTGCTGAGCTGATGAACAGCTGGGACCTGTGGAGCTTTGATCTCATACTGCTCACATGTGTAACATATGTGTGTATGTACATATATATATATACATATATTTACACATATATATAAATATACACATACATATATATATATACATATGCACAAACATATGCATGAATATATGCACATGTACAACAATTCCTCTTTAAATTGTGTGAGAGGTGCAACTTGACAATTTGTGTTGTGCGCAAGTTATGCTCTTCTCTTTTGATGGTCGGGTGGGCCTCCACAAAAGAAGCCTGGTGAGGATTGCAGAGAAAGCTTTTCGCATTGCCGAAGTGGAGGCATATTTGCACAGCCCGCATCATGCTGACCCGTATGCCCATGGGGACGAAGGGCGCTTTGGTATAAGAGAAGTGTAGGACCAGAAAGCCAGTTCTGGTGCAGAGAAGCATCCAGCACAAGATGCAGTAAAGCCGAACAGCATACTTTCCAGATAAAAGAGAAGTCGGCACCACTCTTGCTGCCAAGGCAAGCAAGTTGTGGCGTGTGGTACTTCCACAGAAAGGGTGGCACCTACAAAAGCGGGAGCTTCAAAGGAATGGACTTGGCATGCGGGGACAAAGAGCAGAACGTGTTTGCCGGTCTGCTAGTCCGAGCTGTGATAGACTCTTCTGACAAGTTGATCGAAGGGCCTTGCTTGGTCGTGGACAAGATCTTGGAGCTAAATGGTCACTTGCCGCCGTCACAGTACCGCTTTCACATATCGGTTCAAGACAAGAAAGATTCTACCATGGGCTTAGTCTACTCGAGAAAGTGTATTTACCGAATTCTATGTTTTCTTTTTAATCATTGTTTGTTTCATTTCTCTTTTTTAGCTAGCGCATGCAGAGAATTTGGTTTGTCATGTAAGGCAAAGAATCCATTGCTGCCTTTGCAGCAGGGCGAAGTGTCACGAACTCACAGCAAATGAAATTGCTCTTCGAGATTCTCGTGCAACATGTTCCACGCTGCGTGTTGAGGCCGCAGAACTTCCTGCTGCCAGCACCGAAGGACTGGGAGTGGCAGTTGAAAGACGTTGTCGTTGGTAATGTGGGTATAGGCATAGGCATTAATGCGAAGACAATGCTCGATTTGTTGTTTGTTTTTCAAGAAAGCAATTGGTTCTGTAGATGTCCTCTCCTTACATTCGTGGTTGAACAAACATTGTACCTTCAGGACTGCGTTTGGCACCAGCACTTGAATCCCGCTCAGACCACGTCCGTTGCTCTGCACGTGTTGGCTTGGTTCTACGTGACTCGGCGGTACTTCTGCTGAGAGAGAGAGGGAGAGAGGGAGAGAGCCAGGAGCCCCTAGTAGTGTCCTTGCTCCTCGTAGTAAGGCCAGGAGCCCTCAGTAGGTTCTTGTTACTAGTAGCGATGCCAGGAGCCCCTAGTGAAGAGGTTCATGTTTGCACACTGCTGCGCTGCCAAGGTGAGGAAGCAGAGAATGCTCTGAAGGGTCCGAAGACTCACATGACTTGTGCTCAGCCGACACTGACGACATAACCTGTTGCATGGTGATAGCCACACTTTTCAAGCTGCTACACGGCAAGGCATGGTCGGCCTGTTGAGTTCAGGGCTTACAGCTGTAATGTCATTGTTGCGGTTGAAGCCTTTGTGTGTTGAATGCAGACCTTCACATCTCTTTCAGATTATCAGCTCGCCTGTGATGTCAAAGGGGATTGCCCAGGTTTTGCACACGACCCTATCGCTTCTCAACAGCTGCTTCACGCTTGACCAAGTATAGGAGTGGCTTTGTGGCCACCGCCCACTTGTCAGGCAGGGCTCTTGAATGTAATGAATAGGAATTTAGGAATCTGGCTTGCCTTGACTTGCCTGCCAACTCCATTGCCACACCCGAATTGGTAGTAGCGCCAGTTGGGAAGCTACGAATCAACGCCGCTTTACAAAGCAAAGAAAGGTCCCATCTGCTTCTTGTCATGAGAGGTACTTTGGATGGGGACAAACTTGGGCTCTCGGCTCAGAACTTCTCCAAGTATGTGCAACTTGGCTGAACTGCGCTGCCTGATTCTATCAGACAAGGGTTTGGCATACCTTTCGCAGACAAGCTCCCTGGAAGAATTTGAAATCACCTTTTGCACAGTGTTAATTTGGGCAGGAAAGCTGCAGAAGCAGGAAGGTCCAGAGGAGATCCATCACAGTGGGTCAACAAGAAAATCAGCACACAGAAGCTTTGTGGCAACTAGGAGGGTGCCGCACGGTCATTTTTGGATGCAAACAGGGGTCGTTTGTTTGTGTTTTTCCTTTTCGACAGCTGCGAACCCAGGCCTGAGCTTTGCGAGCTGATCGGTGCGTGTCATGGTGCGCTGGAATCGTTTGATTAGCTTTCGCGCAGGCTGTATAGTTCTGAGGTGTGATGGCATATTCCAAGTGCAGTTCTGAAAAGGAACGCTCAAAGCCATGGAAGTGTGCTTTCACCCCTCGTTTATGTTCAGTGTGCTTTCAACTCGCAGAAAAGCGGCTGTGTTGGTTCAGTCTTCGGGCTGTGTAGAAATCATTCCCTCAAGGATCATTTTGGGCTTCACACACATACATATGTATATATATATATACATACAGATATACATAGATACATGTAGTCAGTTTTGATCCTAAAATTCGAAGGCCTGGAAGCTTCAATTTTTGAAGTGCTAAGCACATGCAATGATTGGCAAACAGAATTTAGAACTTTGCCCTCAATATGTGATGAAATGCCTTTTGGAGGCGTTGGCTGCATCAATGGCCTGGCATGCTGTCAAGCTTTGCACCACAGCTGGGCCAAAGCACTTCGTCGTGCGAAAGACATGCTTTGCACAGCTGAACTTTTGCCTTTGCGACCGCTTTGCAAAGACATGTTCACCAACATTGGAAGCTTCGAGAAGATTACTCTCAGATGCGAAGAACTTTTGATTATGGCTGCGGATCCATTGAATGAGTGTGTAGTTGCATCCGCCCTGTTGCAGAGAGGAGTAGAACCCGGCGTTGTGTCAGATGACAATGAACTGTACCATATCAGAATCAGCAGGCTCATGCTTCGCTGCTTGACTTTGCTACAACGTCTTGTCGGCAAGTTGTTGGAAGTTGATGAGACCTGTACGAGAGCTGTGGGAGAGTTGCAATGCCTGGACTTTGAGGTGAGAACTGGCCGATTGGTGTCATACCATTCCTTTGCAGAGCAGGCGCGCGCCGCAGCTGTACAGGCTTTTTCTGAATTAAGCACACGAGGACGGCTTGACATCCTGAATGACTTCGAGACAGACCTGATCTGCATCAATGTCGGGGAAGTAGAATATGCCAGGTTTTGTCACGTGCTCAGCTGGGGTCTCGTCGCCTGATACGCTAGCCGCTAGGATTCAGTTGCTTGAGAGACGGGGGTGCACCTTTGCAGTAGATTTTCAAGCCTGAAGAGTTCCGAGGCTTGCTGGATTTATCCGGCAAAGCAGTTTCCATGGAAGCCCTCCTCACGGTTGAGTATGGTGACAGCGGTGAATACAGTCCTTCTTTTCATCGGCTGAACCGGCGATGGCTTTGGGCAGAGCTTTGGCTCGAGCAAGATGGCTTCGAGCTGTGCTCAGTGCAACGGCTGCGGCTGGAGGCTCAGACCTCACCTTCGGGCAGGCCACAAGCGCAGTGAGCGGATATACACTGGTTTGGGCATGTTGATCACGCGCGTTTACTTTCTTCAGCATGCCAAGCTTGTTTCAATTCCTCCATCACCTTTTTCTCTCTTGCGGTTTTCTTTGTTTTGTAGGTGTTCTTTCAGGCTTGTTAGGTTGCTCTTCAGGCTCGTTTTGATGCCCCCCCCCTCGGATTCGTTCTTGCCTTTTTGTTTCTCTGTCTAGGTCTGACTCTTCTCTAGAGGCCTTGTAGGTATGTAATGAGGCCTCTTTGCCAAGTGCTAAGTATTCGTTCTTTTTTCCGGTCGCTCTCTAGAACCTACGTAATTTCCAGGCTGTCTACTGAGTCTACTGCGTTGTTGCCTTCTTAGATCAAGCGAGCGCCGCTCTGCGGCGGTGTGTGTGTGTGTCACTTAACAAAGCTCTCTGCAGTTTTCTGAGGATATCGCTGGAGACGTCCAGTGACGCACCTGCGATTTTTTGAACTTTTGGCCAAGCTGTTCACCCTACTCTTCCATAATGTGCTGATGCAGCCGCGGAGTCGCTTTTTACGGCGCTGTTGTTCAAACACCTTCAAGTTGACGGACTCACAACTCTTGTGGTTTTGCACTAAGTAACTAGTCATGTGTACTGCGCAACTGAACTTCCACTGGCGGTACGTTCCCTCACTGGAACTTTGAGTCACAGGGAATCGGTTGATTTGTTTTGGTTTGTTCAGCAGGGGAGTGCGAAATGATTGTGGGACCACACTCAACGAAGCTACCGCAATCATGGGAGCGCTCGTCGTCTTTTTGATCGAGCTTTGAGACTTTGGCCTCCTAACTACGACGAAATTACGATTGAGGATTCCCTGGATGTTCAGACCACCTTACTTTTGCCTGTCAGTACGCATATCTCGAGTGTGTGTTTGCGCGTGGCAGGTTTTTGTCCGGTACCTATGCGTTGCCAAGTTGTGTGCCCAAGCTGCTGTGTCCAATGGGCGGCCCCTGCTTCAGGTCAGTTGCGGCTTGGGCTTGAACTGACTTATGTGAGAGCGTGCGCCAGCGTGTTCCGGATGGAAGGCTCGCCAAGGTGAGGTTGGCGCTTAAAGGCCTTTTGCAACATCGTTAAGCAGGGGCGCGTCAACCTAAATGTAGCCATGGATGTCAAGCCTGCCTCATTGAGCAGCTTAACAACTAACATCGTTCGTCGGAGTCTAGCTGCCTAGCCCTAGCAGGCCAATGTCCTCTGCGTGAGCGCTTGACTGAAAAGGGGCTTCTACGCCTTCGGCTTCTGGCCCGCTGTTTTTTGTTGCTTATGAAGTTTCGTAGTTTTGTGTTTTATACACGCATGCATGCATACATACATACATGGCTCAAGCCGCAAGTGCTCAAGCCCGCTGCCCTTGAAGACGGGCTTGCGCGGCGCCCCAAGCGCTTCAGGTGCAAGGACATTGACATCGACCACGGCCCGGTGAAGGTCAAGTACCTTTGTTCTTTGCCCGTGATCTCACAAGACCGCCTTCCTCGCTTCTGTCAAGATCCAGGGCAACTGGCAAGGTCTCGCCTGGCTACTTCCTCGAACCCTTCAAGAGGACTGGTATTACGACCTTGAGGAGCCCAAAGGCCAGTACGTGTTCGGTGCCAAGCACCTTGCCCCCTCCCAGGTCTGCGAGAAGGCCCTTGAGGTCATCTGCCCCAGGCAGAATGACACCATCCCGGACATCATCCTGGGCAGGAGCTGCGCGGTGTGCGGCCATAACTCGTGCCGCAGGGATGACAAGCTGAACCCAGGCACAAGGTGCAGAAAGTGTGGGACACGGTGGCCAACGCTGACCAAAGCCACAGGGAAAGGCAAGGGTCAGGGCCATGGGAATAGAAAGTTCCAGGAACTATCCAATTGGACCAATTGGACCAAGAGAGCGCAAGACAGCCTGCTTGACACACCGCCAGGTTTGACGATGCTCAAGCCGCTCAAGAAAGCCAAGGAACAGCAAGCAGCTGCAGCAGAACTGCTGGCATCCACTTAGAATGTCATCCCGGAGGGCATTCAAGGCAAGCTCCAGGCGCTTGGCTTGGGACCGCCACCACAAGAGGAACCAGAGCTTACGGCCCTCCTCAAAAGCCACATGTCACCTTTGCCACAAGCAGTGCAGGAAGTTGTCACCAAGATCACCCAACCATCCCCAGATACAGAAAAGGACATTGCCAACAAGCTCAAAACCCAGGTGACCGACCTGAAAAACATCTCAGTCCGCAAGACACAGCTTCAAACGAGGCTGGATCAGGTCAAAGCATAATATGCTGCAATGCTTCAAGACATGCAAGACCTCCAGACCAAGCTCAATGAAGGGCAGCAGCGGTTGAAGGACCTCTCTGACCAGTACATGAAGGTGGTCAACCAGGCACCCACTCCAGAGGAGCTCCATCGGAGACACACCAATCCCTATGGTGGTGGAAACTTTTGTGACAGCCTTGGACTCACGCTGACTGAAGAGCAGCGAAGTCAGTTACACGTATTGCTAAAAAGGCCAATCCCAGAAGCTGAAGACCCCAGCAAGCGCAGGAAAACAGATGGCAATGTGACACCTCCTGCAGGAAGACAGTGTGGGTAACCCACTCCAGGCCAACGCAGGGGACATGCAAGGGATTTGGGTGCCCATACCCCTTGATGACTTCGATTGGGCGCCAGAACAACACCTCCCATCCAATCAGATGGTTTGCCGCGCTGCCTCAAGCTCAGCAAGCAATTTTGACACACAGGAAAGTCGATGTGCGGGGGGTCGTACACAACGACGCCAACCTGTGGCACCTTTTCAAGAACCAGGGGACTTCTCTTGCAAAGATGAAGGGGAAATCACTTTGCAGTCAGAGAGCAGCGCAACCCAACGCACATTGACTGAGTTCAACAATTTTGAGCCAGCTTCTCAAGCTGACACACCAGAGATATTGCAACCTGACCCACCGGCTTTCGGCGCGTTGGGACCCCATGTGATCTCCATCAAAGGTGGAGGACAACAGAAGAACAAGGCGGCCTTCCGGAAGCCTACACAGAAGAAGATGCAAAACACCTATGGATCCACTACAGAGTGCATCCTCCAAAACTTATCCATGAAGGTTGGCAACCCCAGCGCTCGATGCTACGCCAACGCACCCTGGCGAGCCTTCGCATGGACCTGTGCGTTGCTCCAGGAGACGAACACACAGCCTTGGGGCAATTTACAAGATGCAGTCCAAGAGTCACTTGAGCTGGCTGAAGAAGTCGACATCCGCCAGCTACCAGGACTACAGCAGCTGTGGAAGAAGCATGATCTCAATGTGCAGGGTGATGCCAACCACTTTGTCAACTCGTTGCGGAATCTCTCACAGACAAGAGCATTCCATTGCAGATATGCAGAGATCAAAGCTGGTGGTTATTTGACTGATCATGTACAGCAACCTCTGCTGGCCCCATATCCAGATGACTGGCCGGAGAACACCACCTTTCAAGACCTCATCAATGGTTGGTCGAACGAGGGCATGGGACAGTATCTCATGGACGACAAGCCAGTACTGGTCACTCATGTCACCAGAAACACAGAAATAGCAGGTGTGGCCACGAAAAACGCCAAGATCCTCAACCCGTATGGAACTTTCACAGTTCCCAGATCATTGGATGGCTTTGCAAGAACATCCTCAGAGTTTGTGCCTGCAGCGCTCATATGCCACAGAGGCCCAAGTCATGAAGCAGGCCATTACTTTGCCACACTCATCTATCGTGATCTGATGTGGATTGCAGACGATGGCAAGCCACCAATGCATCTGGACCACTTGACTCCTTTGCTGGCAAGCCAGATAACCCAACTATGGGCAGTGCATATCGACACTTTTCGAACGACGCAACAGGTCATTAGATCCTTGCCGCCAGCTGAAGAGCCCGATTTCGATCCTCCGCTTAATAGCAGCCCAGACAAACGACCACGGCTCGAACAACAGCGCAACAAATTGCACTTTGGCAATGTGACGAATTTCGGCCGCCAAGTGATAGACTGGTACTGGACAAGACAAAGTGAGGTCTACATCTTTGTGGAGACACCCCTTGATCCACAACGTCACCAACAGACCCTCCAGTACTACACTGTCCGTGGGCGCGCAGCTTTTCCAGCTTTCCCCAATGAGGACAACAGTGGCACGCACGGAGGCATCCCTTGGCTGACCCCTCCTCTGTGGCCTGACTCCTGTTGAAGCTTTCTCCATCGAAGGATGCGGGTTTCAGGCATTTTTGTGGCAAGCTACACAGTGCACCATTTTGGTTGCTGGGGTCTACCTGAAAACGCATGAGACCCTGCAAAGTGACACCAATGCCACGATCATGTCCATTCTCCCTGTTTTGCTGGAGGCCACAGCACACCCGTACGTCATCTTTGGCGATTGGAAGAACCCTCCAAGTGCAATCTCCAGCATGGTGCTCTCATCAAAATTTCACTTTGGGATCTTGGCACCAGACCACACTATCAGGCAATGTCTTGGACTACTACTTAGTGCGTGACACACTGGCTGGCACCTCGGCACTGACCACAGATTGGGCCATCCCATGGAGGCCACATGCACTCCTCACCGAGCAACTCCAGGTCCGTTTCCAATGTGCGCAAAAGCAGCCGCCGCCACATAGAGGAGGCCCTACCAAAGGTTTCATGCAGGCCATCGAAGATGTGCGCAAACACTGGGTTGGAACACCCACACGAGGCCAATTTCTCGACGCGTGTCATCACTGGGAGAAATTCAGAGATCCACATGCGGCCACACTACTTCAGTGCACGATGGCCCACCAGGAAGTTGCGCATGATGAAGCCCACCTGCAGTACAAAGAGTGGCTGCTCCAGGGCCAGGCCAAGGGCCTCCGCGGGCTGTTCAGAAACCTGAAAAGCAGCGAGGTCGCCTGGGAGAGACCCTACAGAAACATACCACAACCCCAGCGACAGCGAATGGATCACAGACTCCAAGATTTGGGACGGCTCTGGGACATCCGACAAGACAATGAACCACGTCCCAGACCCAGCTTACAAGAACAAGCGCAGCAACAAGCACAGCAGCTGCCACCACTCACAACTGGACAGCTGGCCAGAGTCTTCAAAGCACTGCCAGACAAGGCCAGTGGACCTGATGCAGTGTCGGCTCAACTCTTAAAACAGGCTCCACCGCTGTCCTTGGCACCACTCCTGAAGCTATATCAAGACATGGAACAACAAGCACAGCTTCCAACGCAGCAACGAATGCACATGGTGGTGATGTTGCCAAAGAATACCACCCTGGAAAGGCCCATCACTTTGACCTCCGTGCTCTACAGGGTTTGGTGTTGGCTCAGAAAGCCATTGCTTGACCAGTCGCCAGATGGACCATGACAGGGCCAGACCTGGCGCGAATGTCCTCCACGTGGCCTTAGAAAGGCTTTTGCGGCAAGAAGCCCACAAAGCCCATGGCCACCATGGTGTGACAGCGCTGATGGACATGTCCACCTTCTACGACGCCGCCCACCTCACCAGGTTGCAAGAAGAAGCCGTGAGGCTCAACTCTCCGCCGCTGTTGTTGGAACTGGCAATGCAGGTCTACACAGGGCCAAAAGCCATAGTTGCAGAACAAGAGATGACCCCCTTCTTCACGGTCAACAAAGGCATTCCGGCCGGATGCCCACAAGCGCCACTGCTAGCCAAGGCAGTCCTGGCACCAGCAATCCTTCCTTGTCAACCCCAAGAAAACGGCCTTCATTGCCACTGACAGAACAACTGACAAAGCCCTACGTGACCTTCTTCATGAGGATGAACCACCTGTGGCTTCAGTGATGAGGGATCTTGGCATTGACCATCAAGCTGCCAGAAGACGACGGATCCCAGTGCTGAAACAAAGACTCCGTAAAGCCCAGCGCCGCAGGATCAAGTTACGCAACTTGAAGCTGCCGGCTCTGCAACTGCGACTCCGCCTTCACAGAGGAGGAATCCAGCCAGTTGCCATGTGGGGAGCTGAAGGCCAAGGATTAGCTCCAAGATACCGGACAGCCCTCCGACAAGC